GTCAGCGGCGGCGCGCGCCTGGCTGGGCCCTGCGGAGCAGGAGGCAGCGAGCGGAGGAGCGAGCCCAGTGGCCGTCGCCCGAGCCGCGCTGCCCGCCCGCCCGCGCTCCAGTCCGCCGTGTCTAGCAGCGGGGCCCAGCATGGTCATGGCGGATGGCCCGAGGCACTTGCAGCGCGGGCCGGTCCGGGTGGGGTTCTACGACATCGAGGGCACGCTGGGCAAGGGCAACTTCGCCGTGGTGAAGCTGGGGCGGCACCGGATCACCAAGACGGAGGTGCGGCCCGGGGCTCGGCGGGAGCGTCCGAGGCGAGGGTTCGGGAGAGGAGCTGTTTACCGAGAGGGGCGGCTGCAGCGGGGGCCTGGGGAGATCCGAGAGGCCGGGTTACTAGCTGAGGCGCGAGGGCCCGGGACTGTGAGGACCCAGGAGGTGCAGGGGGTCGGCGAGCGCCGAAGGGCTCGGGGCCGGGTCACCCGGCTCGAGTGTCGTTTGATTGGAAACCCGGCCAGCCGGGGCTTTGCCTTCCCTACGCCACCCCCGGTGGCCACACGGAATTTCGCCCAGAGCCTCCCACCCGGGCCGTGACCTGGTCTGTGGCCTCCGCTCCGGAGCCCAAGTTCCGCGTCTTCCCTGCTTTCGGCTGGGGGTGGGGTGGGAGGGGAAGTCTCGGTGCTCCTGGGCTGCGCGATGAGAGACGCCGCCAGCCCCGAGAAGGGGACCGCCTGCACTCGGACTCCCGGGACGGGGCATCGCGCGGCCCCCGGGACCCTGGCGCCCCTCCCAGGTCCCCCGAAGAAGGGGCCCCCGTGGCCGGGAATGCCCGGGCGGTCACTGTCCATCTTCTCTCTCTCCTTTTGCCCGACAGTGTCTCTGATTTGGTGTCAGGCTAGCTTGATCTCGTGCCTGAGGCATTTCCATCTAATACTCCAGACAATGGAACTGGTTAAAATGGTCATCTCTGCATTTGCACAGTTGGTGGGTTAGCCTTTCTTATCCTAGGTTGTTCCTTTACCAGGTGTGCATTCTGGCTGTGAATACGCGTTCCTTAAGCCACATCAGATTCTGCCTCTCTTACTCATAAAGGCTTCAGCTGCTTTCTGACGGTGAATCCAGCATCCCCCCCATCCATTGCATATTCTAATGCACCGCAGATATTTTCTCACAAGTCTCTCTGTTCTTACCTAACCCGCCCCCCTTCCTTCCATTGCTTCAAGCTGCTCTCCTCAGGGTCTCTATTTTAAGACGTGCAAATTAAATACTTTAGAAAAACGGTAGAAACAAAACCATTCTTTAGAATAAAACCTTGTGTTTTTGACATACTCTACTCTGCCTTATTGTAGTTGTTCTGGAGTTTAATCCTTTTTCAGTTTTTTTTTTTTTTGCCTTCAGTTTTCATCCTTTTCAGTTTTTGCCGTTATTAATGTGAATGTACTACAGTTTGAATATGGAATAACGTAGGACTTTTTTTCCAGAATGGCCGTGTAAGGTGAAGGGCATTTCAAAACTTGAATGATTTTTGTAGCTTTTTTTCTTAGAAGTTTTGCTTAATGTGAAGGAGATCCTTTCTAAAAGAAGGAGTATATGTCATTTTGTCATCTTCCCTTTTTGCCCTCCCCTACTGATCCTGAAACAGCCCAAATCTAATTTATTTTTTTAGCCTCAGTGCGAAGGTCATAAGTTTTCCTCTCACAAATTTACCAGTGGTAGCAATTTAGATTAAGTTTGTAATGATAAATAATGTGACTATAGTGAGATTACCTAATCTGATCCCGGTATTTTTAAAAATGAAAAAAGAAATTGGTTCCATTCCTCTAAAGAACCATGGTCTAATGCCATGCCATTTCCCCTTAAATTACATGAAGAGAAGGCATTTTCAGTGTGTATTTTTATATGAGTCTTTGCTTAATGACTGTCTGAAAATCAAACAGATTGCACATTACAGAGCTTCTGCAGAACTTTTGAACTATGTTATGTGGTTGAATTCCAAACCCATCAGTTCATAATGTTTTTTCTCATCAACTCTTATTATTATTAGTCTTATTAGTCACAAGATTTAATTGTCAGCTGTTATTTATTAGGTCAAATTTAGGTAATACTGTATCTATTTAAGAACTGCTTAAGTGGAGCTGATGTGACTGTCTTTCTCTTGAGGTTGACAGTTCAGATGGTGTCCCTTTTAAACTGATAAATCTGGTGGAGCTAGGGGGCACTGTGGAGCAGTATCATGGTTTGGCTATCAGATAGGGTGAGATCAATGCTTTTGTAATTGAAGGCATAAGTCAGATCACGAAAGATCAATCTGATCTTGAATTGTGTGTGTAGTATATATGTGTAAAATGATTTAAGTTAAAAGCTAAATTTCTAGTCCACAGAACCCATCCCCCTTGTGCTTTTCTAAGGAAGGTGTCCTTAACATATAAAAAGAAATAGTGTGACTTTAAGATGGGTAAGTGTGAGTGTTTGTAGTAATTTGGTGTGATTGAAGATATTAAACTTGACAGGGTTAAGGGACATAGCAAGGTAATCAATGAAGAGAAAAGTTCCTGTGGATCTCAAGTTTTGTCAAGTTGCTTTGTGCACTTTTATGGTAATTTGCATTAAGAATTGCTTAGCTACTGGCACAGATACAATTGTTTCTTAAAGTATACTATTTGTTGTTAGTAAGGGTTTTTTTAAGCAGTATTTGTTATCTTCATTCATTCACTGGATAAATATTTGTGTCTTTAATAAATATAACAACTGCCTCAAATACCACAAGTCATCTGACTAGTGGAAACTTTAAAGTTTTATTTAACATTATTTTAGATTCTTAGTGCTGAACATACTACAGTACTAATTACAGTGAGAACAATTAATATGGTATAAAGAACAATATCAGCAAAATATCGTGATTATACTTACTGTTTATAAAGGTTTCTTCAATATCCTATGCTTTAACATCAATGTAAGTTTGTGTGTTTTAAAACTTAGAGGTCTTTTTTCCTAGGTTTGAACCTGAGGGAAATTTTAGGGCTTAGTTTAAACATCCGTGTGATGAACAATTGGACCCTTTTATTTTTAATTGGCTCTTCTCCGTCTCTTGTTTTATATCACTCAAAAATGGTGTATTTTCTACAGAGCTTGGGAGATCCAAGACAGTTTGCCTTTTAGGGAAAAAAAAAACCAGTAGACAAAAGAGATCTTCATTTTGGTCTAATCTATCAAATAGCTTAACATTGTTTGAGAAATACAATTGCATCATCATCTGAAGCAGTGTTCTCATGTTAGATCTCTATGTAAATTTTGCACACAAAAGGGAAGGCAGGTGGTGATAGAATCCAGCTTCCTAATATAATACTTCATAAAAGCTTTGTAGTATTGGTTTGTGGTTTATGAATTAGAGTAGCTAATTTTATAAAGTTAGCATAATGGGAAAAGAATAATAGCATTTAGACTGTTAAACTGTTTAGGCAATAGTGGTTGCTAGTTTGCTATGCTGTGAGTGTCCTTGAGTAGTGTTTTATTAATACTGTACTAGCAAGGAAGTTTTTCCTTCTAGCTAATTGTATGGCTGGTTCTCATTGTTTTTTGTCTGTTAAATAAAATTCCAGAAAGTCACTTGTGCCCTTAAACTTTTTTTGTTTTCTGACTATTAAAGAAAGAAAGTCTTACTGTAGAAAACATAAAGAAGAGTATAGTGCACAAAAAAGTGCCTGTGTAATTCCTCCACCAGTGGGAATAAATCATTCTTAACATTATGGCATATTTCCCTCTAGTCTTTTTTTTAAATGCATTTTTTTTCATAGATGAGATCACATGGTAAATACACTTATATAAATTGTATCCTTTTCCCCCACTTATCATTATAGCCTAAGCATTTTGTTTATTATATATAACTTTATGAGACATTTTTAATAGCAGCGTAGTGTTCTACCTTGCAGGTGAATCCTGTTTTACTTAATGACTTCCTGATTTTTGAACATTATATAGTTTCCAGTTTTCATGTATAGTAAATAATTTGCGCTGAGTGATTTTTGTGTATATAACTCTTATGTCTGCATTTTTAATTTTTTAGGGAGGAGGAATTGGGGGTTAAATTCCTAGAAGGGAAATTACCAAGTAAGAAGGTATTATTTTTACATTAAAGAATTATGTATTTTTATTATCTAATCTATCTTGTTTATTATTGAAAAATTAAAAAGTATAGATAAATGAAAAGAATTACCCATAATATCTCCACCCAGACATAACCATCATTAGTTATTTTCAGACCTTTTCTGTGACAGATAATTGAGTTTTCCTCAATACCATACCTCTTATATTGCTTAGCTAAAGAGCATATAAATGTGTGGTCCGTGATATCCTAAAGATATTTCACAGAGGTTCTGAAAATAACCTTATTAAAATGGCATGTAGGTGTTGGACTACTTACTTATCCTTAAGAGAACCTGGAATGCAAAACTGATAAAAGGACATTCTAAAAACTGCTTTTGTTCACCTAAAATCTTTCTGTATGCATTTTGGGGCTTTTGTGTTTAGGCATAATTCTTAAACTATTACCTTAAAATGTAAGTATTTTTAAAGCTTTCCATATAGTTAAAGTATCAAAATTGCATTTTTAGAGCAAGAGTAGAAACAAGAGAAGGGATATTATGCCTTGATTACTACAATGTTTCTTGAAGAAGAGAACTTACCTTTTAAATACGTTGGAATTTTGTATTTTGCTTTAAAATTTCAAGACTCTTCTGAATTGTCTTGTTATTAATCTTGTGCTGTGAAATATTCCAGATTGCAAGAAGCAGCTGTACTATGTGCAACAGAAGGACTTGTTACCAAATAACTTAATCACTAATATTTGTGTCTAGGCCTCTGTATGATCTTTAATTGTGTGTTGAAATAAAAATTATATTTGTCATGGACTATATATGCTTTATTAGAAATTGTTCTCTAGTTTCTTGGCACCCCAAACAAGTAATGTTTGGCAAATTATTTTGCTAAATATTGTTCAAAATGATCTGTTCTTTTGGGGGGAGGTAGGGGAGACAAACATGCAAAATAAGAGTTGTGTAAATTTTTATGTTCTGTAGAAATTTTTAACTTTGTAACAGAGTTTAATGCATTCTGGTTTTAGTGCCGCTGGGAAATTCTATCTCAGTATCAGGCAATGAAGAAAACGTTTCTTTGGAAATAACTGAAACTGGTCTTGATTCTTGGATTCACAGGATGACATTTGATTTATGGCCCACTGCTAATGGCAGATTCATTTCCTTGGAGCCAAATGGATTCCAGAAATTCAT